ACTACCTGCTCACCTGTCCTCCTCAGTACCTAGACGCTCACTACCTGCTCACCTGTCCTCCTCAGTCACTTGCAGACTGGCTAGGCTGCTAGCTGACAGCTCAGCCCCAGGGATCAGGAACCATGGGCAACCCTCCTCAGCCAGTTTCCAACTGCTAACCGTCCTCTTATAGGCAAAGAAACCACAAAAAGTTGTTGCAATATTTGCCAATCTGACAGTTCCGAAACCAGCATTTGTGGGACGAAATGCCAGGTTCTGAAGTTTTCCTGAGATCTGGGTAGTCAGTGTGCAGGCCAGCCGAGAGGCACAGACGTCCAACAAGCATCAGAGAACTGCGCACAGGGACACTACAGGCGTATTTTAAACCATTTTATTTCCAATTCAAACTGTTCTTATCATGTTCTCGGCCAAAGACAAGGCCCCAGGGCTGTGGGGGGCTTTGTTGAGCAAGGGCAGTTCCTTTCCAGACCCAGGGAGTCAGCTAGGAATGTGGGCCCCTGCAGTTTGTTTTAAACACACACACACCCTGGTGGACTATGTTGCTTTGTTTTAAACAAACACACACACACACCCTGCTTCAGAAGTGTGCTGCGTCACCTTAGGTCCTCTCCTGGGCCCAGGGCTTCATGGCTCTAACTGCATCGTGATTTCCAGTCACTTGTCTCGCCTACCCCCCAGAGCCCTTTCACTCCTAACACTCAGCAGAGCCGGATACTGCTCAATCGAGACTTAATGTAAATCAGTAAAAACAGTAAATAATGATTCATTACAAAGAAAACCATGCAATACACGAAATCATACCAATTAAAACAAAAGTAAGTGATCATATGCAAAAAAAAGAACAATTATTCAAATATCAAGCTTAAAATACAAAAACATGAAAGGTGTCTGCTTAATGGTAAAAGAAAAGTTCAAGTAAAAATTTTGTTTTCTTTTCATTCCACTTTTCCACGAACTTTCTGAAGGCCCCTCATCTCTTTCTAAGGAGCTCTGGTAGCGTAGTGGTTACAAATCGGGCTGTGGACCTCAGGGTCAGCAGTTCGACACTACCAGCTGTTCCGCAGGAGAAAGATGAGGCTTTCTGCTCTCATAAAGATTTACAGCCACAGAAATCCTGTACAGGGTTCTATGGGTCGGAATCAACTCCACAGCACACAACAACAACAACATCTCTTTCTGAACTTTGAAGGATCCTGGGAGCTTTCTGATTAGACACTAGCAGTGTTTGTCCATCAGCAGTTACATCTACAGAGTCCAGAGACGGCGCTGTAGGTTAATGTGCTGGACTGCAAAGTCAGTGCCAACCACAAGGTCGGTGGTTCAAGCTCACCAGCCACTCCCTGGAAGCCCTGTAAAGTGTTGCTCTGGGTCAGAACCCACTTGACGGTACTTAACAACAACCACCCTTCTCCATCAACAGTGACATCTACAGACTTGGAAACACAGAACTTTTGAAGGCCCCTCGCATTAACTTTGTTCTCACTTTCTTCCAGTGCACAGTGCAACAGAAATCTATCTACAGATGGACGGGCACACTCAGCTCTCCCAGTCCCTCTTTCTTACCACTTCACAATACAACAGAAAACCACACACAGAGACTTGTGGGTGCAACACCCCACACAGCAGTCTCAGTCTAGGGAGACACAATGGTGTTTGGTGCGACTTGGGGGAAAGTAGCAAGGAAGAGGGAGGCGGGCCCAGTGATGCTGAACTCACAGAAAGCTGGCTTCTTGCGGATGTCCGTTTTCCTGCTCATTCGATACCAGCCCAGTGAGCAGCTCCCAGGAGGAAACAAGCCTGGAGAATCAACTCCCAAGGCCCCCTCCTGCCCTCACTAGGTGTTGTACTCTGTCCATTTCTGCCTTTCTGAGCACTGCTGTTGCCAGTGTCATCGACACCGCCTCACAGGGAGCCCAGAGACAGAACAGAACTGGCCTACACTTCCCAAGGTTTTCATCTTTACAGGAAGGGAACTAACTCAGTGGCTAACTACAAGGTGGGAAGTTAAACCCACTAGCTCCTCCACAGGACAAAGGTTGAGTCTGTCTGCTCCTGTCAAGACGCACCCCCTTGGGACCCTATGGAGCACTTTGACTTGGCCTACAGGGTCCTGATGTTGTCAATAGCTACTCGATGACGGTTGGTTGTCAGCACATGAACAGTGGCGGTGCAGTGCAGGTAGGTGGCTTAACTGCTTACGGAGAGACTGGAGGTGCACACCCACCAGCCTCTCCTTGGGAGTCAGATATGGCTGTCTGCCTCCAGATGCTGTACTGCCTTGGAACTCCTCCGGAGCAGTCCTACTCTGTCCTGCCGAGTGGGTTCTGACTTGTAGCAAGCGGCCTAATATAGGGTTTGCGGGGAGTGGCTGGTGGGTTGTGGGAACCGTCAACCTTGAGAAGCACACTGACCTTGCAGTCCAGTACTTGGATCCTCCAGGCCCCAGTCTACAGTATGTTTGACTTGGTTTGGTGAACTTTGGATTAGACCTAGACCATGGAGGCTGGTGGGTTCCAACCTCTGACCTTTGTTAGCAGGCGAGCTCTAAGCTTCTGAGTCACCAGAGCCCATGCTTCCCCTAGGTAGGTACAAACAAGGCCGAGACCTCTCTCCACATGCCTGCCCACACACCAGGACTTCCCCCGGAGAATTTTCCTTACCATTCCCCAAGTGAAGGGGAAACAGATCCACAAGAATGGTCTGAGGGCACCCCTCAAAGGGCCCGACTGGGCTATCGGCCCTTCACGAGTGATCTCTGAAAGCTGGAGGCCAGCACCCAGCCCATGCCCCGTTTCCTCCTCAGCGCACCACTGTAGGGGCAGACAGTGTGTCACTGGAGGGGAGCGGGCACCAGAGCCAGGCAGGAAGGGCAGCCTGGCCCAGCTCTCTGCAGAGTCTCCATCTCAGCGGACTACCCCAAAACCCTGAACCGAATTAAAGCAAATCTGAGAGCATTTTTTGGCTAACTATCGAAAAACTAAAACTTCTAACCCTTCTCAAATCAAGCTAGCAAGAAAAGAAGGTGTCCCCTCTACTCGTGTATTCACACACAAGTCGTCTTCTTGTCGCTGAACTGTCTCAATGCAGGAAATCAGCCCAGACGTGAGGACCACATGAGAAGAGTCTTCAGAAGTCCAAGTACCAAACTCAGAAACAAGGGTTTAGGCATCAAACGGAGGAAGAAATTGTCCCGGTTTCCATTCTCAAGAAAGAGACTCTTAAGTTTGGTTACTGTCATGGATCAAATTGTGTGGACCCTCAAAATTCATGTCAGCTTGGCAGGGTCATGATGCTCAGTGGTTCGGCAGTTCCGTAATGATGTCATGAGGCAGTTATGTAATGATGTCATGAGGCAGTTATGTAATGATGTCATGCCGCAGTTTTGTGATGTGATAAACCAGTAAGAGGATTAAGGGTGGGCAGCATTACCCTTAGTCCCATCACAAACCCGATCCAGTGTAAGGATGTGTGGTCTCTAGCACCTTTTATTTTATAAGAGATTTAAAAATAGAAAAAAAGGCAAGAGACGTGAGCAGAGAAGGAAGGTGCTCCTAGCACCAGGAAAGATGAGTCAGGAGTGGAGTATGCCCTTGGACCGGGGGTCTCTGAGCTGTGAAGTGCCAGGACACATGGGGTTCTCTCTAAGGCCTGCTGGGCCTACAGATGCTGAGAGGAGACAGGGACCGTCCCCCGAGCTGGTGTTCTGAGTTCACAGTCCAGCCTCTCAACTGTGAGAGGCTCACTCCTACAGCAGCTCTGGAGAAGGGAGACAGCTCTAGAGTCCATCTAGAGAAAATCCAGCAAATTAACACAAGACGCTAAAAGTGAAGTACACTTGTCACAGTCTGGAAAAGCATTTGCTTTTTTGAAGCTAAAAGCTTCAAACAGGTAAAAGCAACACCTAAAAGCTAAAATACAGAAATACTCCAGTAGAATTAACAACGAGCTACACTGTTTTAGGAAGAGAACCATCTGGCTTGGCTGAGGACATACAATCTCCACCGGCACCACGTACGAGAGCCCCAGCCGCCACCCAGGCACCAGAGCAGAGGTCCTCAGGGTTCGTGGGGGCAGGCCAGACATGAGGGGGCTGGACTCTGAGCCTACACCCTCCCACAATCAGCAGAGACAAGGCCACTGACCGGAATGCTGCTCTCTTTAACCCTAGCAGTCACATCACCTGAACAGGAGAAAGCAAGACAGCTGGGCTGCCCTCCTCCCCCCAGCCCCCGTCCCAATCCTTTCCTCTCCTTCCTCTCAGAACATATGGTCTAGGGACTAGGACGTGAGGAAGCATCTGAGATCTTAGGGGAGGGGAGAGTGGGAAGTGGCCTCTCCTAGTGTTAGGTCCATTTCTCCCATTAAACTCTGCCCAGAAATGACTTGTTTTTGCAAAATGAGCTCCACTGAGCACAAGCTCTGGCCATTCACTGCGCTTGGTTCAGGGTCTAAAAGCACTTCCCTCCTTCAGAAATGGGCACACATCCGACAGCGTCGCCCCGAGCATTACCTTCGTGAGGGTGGTAGCTGTAGCAGGCACAGTGCCCCCCTCTCCCTGGGCGGACACACACGCAGGACCCAGGTGGAGACAGCACCAGCAGAGCACGCACAGGAGAGAGGAAAGAAAAGAGAAAAGTGTGAAACCGCAGTGAGAAAACACTCAAACACTCAGCTCTGCAGGTGAGCTCGGGGCGTGCCCAGGCAGTTTTCCCCAACTGTGAGGGCCAGGTGAGCAGCGTCCCAAGTCAGAAGAGTTCCAGGAACCAGACCAACAGGTAGAGAAGCCAGCAAGACAACAGTTGAGTCCCCCAGCAACAGGACAAGCAGCAGCCAGTTAAGTCACCATCACCACCCACTCAGGACACATTTAAACCCCAAGCAGAGAGCACCAGGACACGGCCACCTCCCGAGTGACAACACGTGGCGAAAACACAGGACAGACCCACCAGCAGAAGACAACACAGCTGAGCATGGCTTCCGCTCCCGTGGACCACCACTTCCCGCAGCTGACAGTGGCCACCCAGCTACAGCGGAGCTTTCAGACTGCAGGGCTGGCGAAAGGCAGAGCTTTCATGGCTCGGGTGTAAGACAGAGGACCCTGCACCTCCCCAGGACAGCTGTCCAGTGACTGGACACTCACACAAACAGCAGCCCAGTGACCCAACACAGAAACAAGGCAGGCGATGTTTCGTTCCCTTTGAACATGGTGCGTGGGGCTAAGGTGCATGGTACCCACACCAGTGTTTAGCTCGGACGTTCCTTGGACTGTGGGGATACAGCCGCGCCCCTCAGTGTGGGTGGGCACCACTCTTGGAGCAGCTGCAGACCAGGGGCTCCCTGAGGCCACAAGGAAGCTGGAAAGGTCTGACCCAGAGCACGCTGGGGCAAACCTGAGTGCCCATACTGCACCCTCCCACTGACCACTGATGGCTTCTGGGACCCAGTGGCCCTCAGGCTCTTGCCCACCCTCTTGGCTGTGCCATTCTCAGCTCGACGAGGTACCCCAACACCGGCCTTTGCACAGCTCCAAGGCTTCAGCCAGCAGACATTGGTCACATGCCCAAGACGTAGCAGGCACGGAGATGAACACAGAGCCTGCCGGCCGGGGTTCAAATCAACACAGCGCATCTTTCACTGTGGCCAGGGCACACAGTATGTCTTCACGAGCACCCACACGTCAGTGACATGAGTGTTGAGGGCCCAGCAGCCAGTCTTCCCTCCAGCACTGTGACCAGACGGCACATCACTATAGCCTCTGGTAACGATGACGCTGTCGAACACACAGAGGTGACAGGCTCTGCCACTGCTTGACCACTGGGGCAAGGAGGGCATGTTCACTAACATCAACAGAAGAAAAAGAGGGACACTGTTTTGTGTGCTCAGGCATGGACGAGGTGAAGGAAAGTGACTTCCATGTAACGTGGGGTTGCAGGTGTTTGTGAACACCTGGTGAAGGTATCCAGCAGGCAGCCAGTGATGACGACAGAAGACCCAGGAAAGACGAAGTCTGACCATCCTGGTTTCTAAGGAGTATTCGGGCTGTCCTTCTTCCAACACACGGGTTTGTTTTTCTGGCACTTTGTGGTGCTTTTAATATTTTCTTCCAACCCCGTAACTCTGATGTATCAATTCTTCCAGTCTTCCTTAATCACTGTCCAATTTTCAGATGCTCTTGAACACTTTAAAGCAGATGTGCCCAATGCAATACGTCATTTGATTTCTTGTCTGCTGCTGCCATGAGTGTGGTTGTAGATTCAAGCAAAATGAAGTCTTTGGCAACTTGAAATGTTTTCTCCATTTATCGTGACGTAATTTTTTGGACCAGTTGTGAAGATTTTTATTTTCTTTAGATTGAGGTGCAGCCCATACTAAAAGGCTGTGGTCTTTATCCTTACCAGTAAGTATTTTACACCCTCTTTGCTTTCAGTAAGAAAAGATGTATCATCTGCATGTCGCAGGTTGTTAATGAGTCTGCCTCCAATCCTGATGCTTTATTCTTCTTCATATAATCCAGATTCTCAGCTTATTTGCTCAGCATACAAACTGAAAAAACATGGTGTAAAAAATACAACTCTGGCACACCTTTCCTAATTTTAAACCATTCAGTGTTCCCTTGTTCTGTTCTAACAACTGCCTCATGGCCTACGTACAGGTTCCTCAAGAGCACAATTAAGTGTTCTGGAATATCCATTTTTTTGCAATGTTGTCCACACTTTGGTATGATTTACATGGTTGAAGACCTTTGTACAGTCAAGTAAGCATAGGTAAACATCCTTCTGGTATTCTCTGCTTTCAGCCAAGATCCATCTGATGTCCGTGATGATATCCCTAGTTCCACATGCTCTTCTGAATCTGGCTAGACTTTCTGGGAGCACCCCGCCAATGCAGTACTGCACCCATTTTGGAATTATGCTCAGCAAAGCGTTACTTGCATGTTATTGACGCTATTTCTTTATAAATTCCACATTTTGTTGGGTCACCTCTCTTTGGAATGGGCACAAATATGGATTCTTTCAATCAGTTGGCCAGGGAGCTGTCTCTCGAATTTCTTGGCACAGACAAGTGAGCGTCTCCAGGGCTGCATCCGTTTGCTGGAACATTCTGATTTGTAGTCCTTCAGTTGCAGGACTTGTGGGTTTTGCCAATGCCCTCTCTGTCACTTGGACTTCTTCATTCAGTATTGTGGGTTCCTGATCTTACGGTATCTTTGGAAACGGTTGAACATCAACCAGCTCTTTTATGAGACAGTGACTTTGTGTATTCTCTCCATCTTCTCTTGAGACATGAGTGTAGAGCATTTAATGAAAATGGTCAAGCAGATCCAATGCCTAAAACGGAATCTAAAAACTGTTCACACGGCAGCAAAGCGTACAGTGGGCTCACTGTGGCCACAAGGGACTACAGGTACCTGAGCACCAGCCTGCTGGCCAGACTGCGGACACTCAATGATGAGACGACACAACTTCCCATGAACACTGGAGGCAGGACTCAGGGGCAGAGCCGTACCATGCAGTCCTCACAGCCATCAGTGGACAAACCACTTTGCAATGTAATGAGGTAGAGACCCTGTCAGTGACCGTAGGGCAGGGGGAGCGCACCGAGGCACCTTGACCTCCCAGACTGGCAGGAGATCCGTGCCCAAAGGGAGCTGACTCAGGTGCTACCTGTAGGCACCAGGAACCATAACCACCTAGGTAGCTTTAAGAAACAAAGCCAATCTTTTTCACAAAACTAAACCCTAGAATCAAGAGAAAAACAATGCCTGTCCAAGGACGCAGAGAGCTAACTTTTCCTGTAACTGCTAACTGGGCTTTAAAAGCTGTTCAAGATTGGAGGGTGGGCTGAAATTCTGTGCTCTTCTCTCTGTTTTATAATACCGTCACAGCACAGTGTCTTTAACAAATCAATGAAAAATGCTGTCGGTTCAGCAGAATACTTACGAGACTATATTCATCATATCTTTATGCAAGTACACACATTGCCGAGGGCTGTGTGTGAAGCAGTAACGAAGTCAGTGTGTGTCTCCACCTGTTTAGACTATGAGAGAGCTACAACCGGGCTAATGAGCTGGACTGCAAGTCGGTGGTTCAAGCTCACCAGCTGCTCCTCGGAAACCCTAAACAGGGTCTCTGTGGGTTGGACTGAACCCACTCGACGGCACTTAACAACAACAATTACTATTTAGAGGACTGAAATGAAAATAAATTTCACCTAACAGAATTAACAGCAAACAGAATTCAAAACAAACAATTCAATCTCAGAGTTTTTACGTATACTGTTAAATTTAAGAACTGTTTATAGACATTGCTCGTACATTAAACTAGAATTTGAATATATACAGTCACTTTTCCTCCATCAAATTCCAGTTTGTCACACTTATTAGATTGTTTTATTAAAGTTGTTTTGAAAAAAAAAAAATTAAGGGGATGAATCCTTTAAAAGCCATCCCAAATTCTCTACTCACTACCTTCAATTCTGCTTCTCAATACTGATGTTTTCCACGAGAACTCTACGTTTATGCATGAATATACCCCATATGATGTAAGTTGTTTCGTTTTGAAGTAGAATAACGTCATATGAGATTTATTCTTTTTAGTGGTCAACCAACAGGAAGACCAGCGAAGCAAGGCTCCCCAGCAGGAAGTAAAAACTGCTTGCTGAGTGACCCCCACCCCTCCCCTTACCACCACCACGTCTCACCTGGGCTCAGTTCTACCAAGTAGGGCAGCTTCTCCGGGGGCAGGGAGGAGCCATAGCCAGAGTCGTCGGTCCTCTCCTTCCCCTTGAGGGCTCTCCCATCCACCAGCCGCTTTGTTTTCTTTGGGATGTGGTCTGGTGGTCTCTTCTTCAGCTGGAAGACTAAAATTCCTACAATAGCAACAGTGTAAATCATCAGAGCCTCTGAGAGCGTCAGACGGCCTGGAGCTGGCAGTAAGCCACGCAGACTTAGCAGAAGATGTAACGTAGGAATGTCTCCCGGGGACAACCCCACGGAAGCCTGCTCCAAGGAGCCCTTTCAGTCACTCAGGGAAACCTTAGACTCTTGGTGTGTTCTGAAACCCTTTGGTAAAAAATTTCCAAAGATTATTTTACACGAAAAACTGTTGAAGCACATCACATGCTTGAAAAACTAGACATCATCAATTTCAAAATCACTGAAAGTCTACAGTGGTAAACAACGCTTTCATTAATGAATACATGAATGTGCACATGAATACAAGGGAGCTTCAAACAGTTCAGGGAAAGTTATACTACCTTTGAATTCTATTTTGCCATGATCTTTCTGAAGTGCCATCCTATAAAGCAACTCTCCCTGGTGGTGCAGTGGTCCAGCACTGGGCTGCTAACTGAAAGGTCAGCAGTTCAAACCCACCAGACGCTCCTTGGGAGAAAGATGAGGCCAATCTGCTCCCATAAAGATTTGTTGCTGCTAAGCACCATCGAGCAGCCCAGTATAGGGTTCCCAAGGAGTGGCTGGTGGGTTTGAACCACCGACCTTGTGACTGGCAATTTAGTGTTCATCCAAAGCACAGCACCAGAGCAACCTGGGAAATCCTAGGGAGTCCTAGTCTGTCTTACAGACACGCTGTGAGCCAGAATGGACTCAAAGGCGGTGACATAGAGGGATACCTACAAAAACGCATTTTTTATTAACCTGGCTTTTATTTAATTCAGAGCAATTTGACTTAAATCTTATACTGTCCAGGAGCAGTACCAAATAAGTATTACGGAAGTCAGATTCTGCTTACCGAGAGCTGACATTTTTTAAAAAACTGACTGTAGAATGATCGACTTAACCCGAGTACCGACAGGATTAACTGGTGATAAACATGCAGGTCTCTATGAATGCAAAGTCCCTCTCAGGAGCAGCAGCTAGTCCAGGGCAAGACCTGCACGGTGAGGAGACTACACTCCACTGCCGTCACACTGCTCCCGAGTTCATCAGGGGACATCCTGAGATCTCCCAAAGGCTGTTCCTACCTAACCCATCTGTCCAGACCCTACCGGTTCTCTGGTTCCTATGGAAGGTGGTCTATGGTACAGCACTGGCAATGGGCGGTCAGTTCCCACTTAGGACCAGTAAGTGAGTGTGCTCCTCATAACAGCGTATTACAGCTTGTCCAGGGCCACCCTCGGGAATAAGACAAGGGACACAGTGAATGGCTGAGAGCCAAGGGAACTCACTAGAACCTTCTGGCATGTGGATGAAGGAGTCAGAAAACGACATAAAACATCACAAAATACACTTGTGCACACAGCTACCCCCTCTGACCAGGAAACTCAAGGAATGGAGTGTCATGTTGGAGTTGAGCTGCCCTACAACAACCACGATGGGGCTTCACCTTTGTCACTGGACCACTCCCTGAAGATCTGGAGGGGACACTCATCATCATCCAGGATCACTTCTTTAGCACCTTTCTCATCAGAATGCTGAGATCCAGGAGGAAGCATAACCTAAAAGTAAACGTATTGACCTGTGAGTGTGACGTTTAAAAAGCAAATCAACAAGTATCTAAAGCAATGAACATTCTGTCCTTACAGAGTCGCTATAGTCTGAACCGACTTGACTGCAAGTAGTAACACCACCACCAAAACAGAGTAAAGACAGCACGCACTCCCAACATGGAATTCTTTATTTTGTCCACCGCGGAGCTGTGTGCCTCCTGACCCCCAATACCAATGAGCACCTTTTTAGAAACTTTCATGTGGAATGACAATGTGTTACAGGTGACTTGGGAGAACTCACCAGAAGACAACTTGATAATGGCAAATCTTCACCTCTGTAGTCTCGAAATAACACAACTGTTTCTCTAAGTAGTTTTCTAAAACGGACGCTCTCCTAGGCTAACAAGTACTCTACAGAAATGTAAGAGAGTTCTTTTCTTTGTCGCAGTGTGACTTTAAGTTAGATTTCAATCAGACTCTTGTATAACACAGCTAACTGTTAAGCATCGACTCTAAGACCAACCAACCCTCTCAGGCAAGACACGGCCCACCTGCCTCCATGGTCCATTTCTACCAGCCAGACCCCCTTGGAATCACGAATAAGCCCTGCCGGTCATGGAAGGGGGTGGAGGGGAGACACAAGGTGATCTCAAGTCCTCCAAGCAGGCTCTCAGCTCATGTATACCCCGAGAACTGCAGAAATCATAACACCATCACACACACTGGAAAAGGCCAAGGTGCGAACGATCCCTGAGCTTCGCCGTCTGAATGGCGCCTCACGACACTCACCTGACCTCCACTGTGCACTGCTCTAAATGACCGCACAATGACCACCTTATCGGCATGCCCCCAATAAGCCAATCCAGCCTTCCTCATCGTGTGTTTATGTATCTTTGGCTCAGAGCACGGTTCCCGGAGACCTGGCCTCCAGCGTCTCCTCAGTCCCACTTGTTACTATGTGTCCCAATTTCTAGTCTAGGGAGTGACTTAGAGCCACCAGGTTAGTACAGGCTACTCACTGTGCCCATGACCGCTCCTATTCCCTCAATGACCATGTACAGCTAACGTCTACGCCTCTTGGGTTCAGGAGGCCTCTCCTTGGAAGTTTGCCTGAAGCTCTTGTCTAATGAACAGCTCCCGTCCCGTCTCTAAATCTTGGCCACGGTGTCCCCATTTCCTAATCTTTCTGATGTTTGTATCCCAGCATAGCATCCAGCCCATAAGCCTTTAAATTTTGTCACTGTTCTGAGGTGCCATGGAGTCAGTACCAACTCAGAGCAACCCAATGCACAACAGAACGAAACACTGCCCAGAACAGGGCCAACCTCACAATTGGTGCCACATCTGAGCCCCTTATCTAATGCTGCTGCCACTGTGCCAATCCATCTCATTGGAGGGTCTTCCTCTTTTTATCCAACTCTCTCTCCACTTTACCAAATATGATGTCCTTATGCAGGGACTGGTCCTTCCTGACATCTCTAAAGTATAAAAGACGAAGTCTGGTCATCCTGAATTCCATAGAGCATTCTGGCTGCACTTCTTCCAACACAGATCTGTTTATTCTTTTGGCAATCCATGGTATTTTTAATATTCTCCTCCAACACCACAACTCAAAGGCATCAATTCTTCTACGGTATCCTTATTCACTGTGTAACTTCCACATCCATATGAGGTGATTGAAAATACCATGGCTTGGGTCAGGTGCACCTTAGTCCTCAAGCTGACATCTTTGCTCTTCAACACTTTGAAAAGGGCTTGTGTAGCAGATTTGCCCAATGCAATACGTTGTTTGATTTTTGACTGCTGCTTCCATGAGTGTTGAAGCAGCAACAAGAATGAAGAATGAAGTCCTTGACAACTTCAATCTTTTCTCCAGTGATAAGAATGTTGTTTACTGGTCCAGTGGTGAGGATTTCTATTTTCTTTACATTGAGATGCAACCCATACCAAAGACTGCACTCTTTGATCTGCATCAGTACATGATTTAAGTCCTCTTCACTTTCAGCAGGCAAGGTTGTCTTGTCTGCATATCGCAGGTTGTTAATGAGTCTGCTGCCACATTCTTCTTCATATAATCTAGATTCTTGGATTATGTGCTGAGCATACAGATTGAATAAGTATAGTGAAAAGATACAGCCCTGGAGCACACCTTTCCTAACTTTAAACCATTCAGTGTTCCCTTGTTTTATTCGAACAACTGCCTCTCTTGGTCTGTGTACGTGTTCCTCATGAGCACAATGAAGTGTTCTGGAATACTCAGACTTCACAATGTTGCCCATAGCCTGTCATGATCCACACAATCGAAACCCTTTGCGTACTCAATAAAGCAGAGATAAAGGTCTTTCTGGTATTTTCTGCTTTCAGCCAAGATTCATCTGACGTCAGCAATGATATCCCTCGTTTCACAGCCTCTTCTGAATCCAGCTCCAACCTCTAGCAGCTCTCTGTTGATGTTGATGTTGGTCGCAGTCATTTTTTGGATTACCTTTAGTAAAGCTTTACTCGCATGAGATAGCAGTGATATTGTCCGATGATGTCCATATTCTGTTGGGTCACCTATCTTTGGAATGGGCACAAATACGGATCTCTTCCAATCAGTAGGCCAGGTAGCTGTCTTCCAAATTTCTTGGCATAGGTGAGTGAGTGCGCCTCCTGTGCCACATTAGTTTGCTGAAAGATTTCAATTTGTATGCCATCTATTCCCAGTGACTTGTTCTTTGTCAATGCCTTCAATGTACATTGGACTTTTTCCTTCAGGATCATTGGCTCTTGATCATAGGCTACCTCTTGAAATGGCTGAACATCGACCATTTCTTTTTGGTACAGTGACTTTGTGTATTCCTTCCAACTTCCTTTGGTGCTTTCTGCATCAGTCAATAATTTGTGCACAGAATCCCTCAATAACCTTAAGTTGAGGCTTGAATTTTTAATTTAGTTCCCTCAGCTTGAGGAATAGAGCGTGTTCTTCCCTTTGGTTTTCCAATTCCAGAGTGTGGAAATCTTCAGACAGTCTCATTAATGACCCATGTGCTAGATTAAATAAGGCTACAACAGTACACTGACAGACAGCGAACTTCCAGAGGTCAAGCCAGATCAGGTGAGGACGTGGAACAAGGGATATCACTGTTGACGTTAGACGCATCTTGGCTGAAAGCAGAGAATACCAGAAAGATGTTTACCTGTACTGTGTTGACTATGCAAAGGTTTTCGATTGTGTAGATCAAGACAAGCTATGAACAACATTGTGAAGTATGAGTATTCTAGAACAATTGTGCTCATGAGAAACATGTACATAGTTGTTCGAACAGAACAAGGCAACACTAAATGGTTTAAAATTAGGAAAGGTGTGCGCCAGACTTGTGTTCTATCACCATACTTATTCAGTCTGTATGCTGAGCACATAATTCAAGAAGCTGGATTATATGAAGAAGAATGTGGCGTCAGGGCAGAAGGAAGACTCATTAACACAACCTGCGATATACAGATGATATAGCCTTGCTTGCTCCAAAGTGAAGAGAACTTAAAATACTTGTTGGTGAAGATCAAAGAACATAGCCTTTGGCGTGGGTTGCATCTCAACATAAAGGAAACAAAAAATCCTCACCAGTGGACCAATAAATAACATCACGGTAAATGGAGAGAAGACTGAAGTTGTCGAAGTCTTCATTTTGCTTGGATCAAGCATCAACACTCACGGAAGCAGCAGTCAAGAAATCAGACGACGTATTGCATCAGGCAAATCTGCGCCACAAGACCTTTTTAAAGTGTTGAAGAGCAAAGATGTCATCTTGAGGACTAAGGTGCACCTGACCCAAGCCATGGTATTTTCAATAACCTCATATGGATGCGAAAGCTGGACAGTGAATAAGGAAGACTGTGGAAGACTTGACGCACCTAAGTTATGGTGTTGGAGGAGACTATTAAGAGTACCATGGACTGCCAAAAGAACAAACCAGTGTGTGTTGGAAGAAGTACAGTCAAGAATGCTCTTTAGAAGCAAGATGGCCAGACTTCGTCAATCATGCTTCGACTATATTATGAGGAGGACCAGTCCCTGGAGAAGGACATGATGCTTGGTAAAGTGGAGGGTCAGACAAAAAGAGGAAGACCCCCAACGAGATGGCTTGGCACAGTGGCAGCAGCAGTGGGCTCAAGCTTGGCAGCGATTGTGCGGTGGAGACAGGACCAGGCAGTGTTTAGTTCTGTTGTGCATAAGGTAGCTGTGCGTTGGTACCACCTGGCTGGCACCTCACAACAACCTAACAATATGGCAGCATGGTGTCTCTGTAGCTAATGCACTAAAATGCGAACCACAAGGTCGGCAGTTCAAGCACAGTACCTACTCTGAAGAAAGAAGAAGAGGCCTCCTGCTCCCGTAACAATTTACAGCCTCAAAAATTCTACATATGCTCAGTGATGTGCTAGGACAGACTTGAAGGTAGAAACCGCAACACCTGTCTCCAAGTCCAGGAGGTAGACGCTCCTGCCCAACGTGGACAGGGACATGGCCTTCCATGGTAAGGGCACGTGTCTGGTGATGGGCACTCGATATGCTGCCTGTTTGGTCCTACAGCAAACAGTGCTGCAAAGGGGATCACACAGCCCCCCACACTGCCAGGGCTTCACAGGCTGCTTGCTGGCTGTGAGGGGTGGCGCTAATATTCATGGATCTGCTGTGCGCGTAGGGTAGGCACTCAACTGTTAGCCACAAGGTCAGGGGGTTCAAACCCACCAACTGTTCATCACTATGAAACAGAACCACCAAATCAACAGCACTTACCACCACCTCCAACTAATAGTCACCACATTTCTGCTACATTGTAACAGTTACTTGATCTTCTTCCAATTTAGACCTTATTTCTAGTCCAAAATCATGTTTTCCCACTGCCTTTCACCATCGCCCTCAGAATTACCTCCGCTTAAGCCAGATTCTAGGCTTGGAGCCTCCCTCTTTCTTGGCCACCCCTATCACTTTGCTGCAGCAGGTGCCCTAGGAGTTCTCTGAGAGCAGATGCATGGTAGAGACATCTGGGGGGCTGTGTGTTGAAATGCCTCTGCCCACCCACCACTTGACTACCACATTGAAGTGAAGCACTCGTTGCTCTGTAGTGAGAGGGCCGCTGCTGCCCTATGTCTCTGCATTCAGAGCCCTCGCCTGCCTTCTTCATTGTCTCTCAGAGCTCCAGAGTCGTTCACCTCAATGTGCTGCTCTTCCATTCAATGTCCTCTGGCTCTTAGCTATCCAGCCATATCTGACAGCAAGTCACCCAGAAGCTGAGTGTGAGCCTGAACGCACGTTTGGGCAAGGACGGGCCTCCCAGCAGGGTCACTGGCCCCGAAGGGAATGTCCAAAGGCACCACCATCTGCACAGCCTTCTCTGGCCAGCATGGTCCTTCTGCTCGGAGGGCACGCCTTCAATCCAGCTGCCAGTATTCTGGATACTGAGTACACTTAAGGCTCTCTGCCCCCCTGTGTTCTGCCTGGCACCCTAACACAAGGTCCCCCTTGTTTAATCCCCCATCAACCTTACTGGACCTTTCAGCTGGGAAGAAAACACTGGTTGGGGAGGCGGGGGGGCAGTGGGAGGTGTACAGTTTACCCAAAAAACCTTTTACTAATTTTCAGTTTTCTACCTATCTTTCCCAATTGTCTTAGAAAGTAGATCACATGAAAAAATATTCAGGTGTGATGCTGTCAGATAAGCAGTGGACTGCTAACCACAAGGTCAGTGATTCAAACCCTTGGCAGCCCTGCACAGGGTCACTATGAGTTGGAAGCGACTCGATGGTACTTTACCACCACACAGATACACGCAAAGCCAGAGTGGGAAGGCTACTTATCAAAACCCTAACGGTGGGAACCCTTCAGTACTAGAAACATGGTTCGTTTTTATTTTAATCCATATGCCATTTTATACGTCCCCAATTTGAGACAATGCACCAGACTGCAAAGCCGTCTGATCTGCAAGGTCGGCAGTTCAAGCTCTCCAGCTGCTCCTTGGAAACCCTAAACAGGATCACTATGGGATGGAATCAACTCGACAGCACTTAACAACAACAATTTTAGACTAATGAACGTGTATCACTTTTATAACAGAAGGGAGAGCGCTGCTGTTTATACAGATTTCACACATGGTGACTTCGTTCATTCGTCAGATTCGAAAGGACTGCACAGTGAGAAAGCGGTGGCAGTTTCATGTTCCCCATCAGCAGGAGGAGCTGACTAGACGGGTCCTTACCCGGGCGATGCAGTAGTCCTTGGGGCTTGCCTTCTCCAGACCATATTTCTCTAAAGCTTCGGCCACAGCAAAGTTGGCAGTATCGCTTGTGGACAGCAGGATTGTCTTGTAGGGAATATTTGGTTTTAAACTATCTGCATAAATTCGTAGTGTTCCACCTGAAAAACAGTGTGACATTTATTGTGCCAATCAGAGCAGCAGTCAATATTCCCATCACTTTACCACAGCTCTATGCGCCCTTCCCGCTAGCCGGCAGGCTGTCCTCTCACACTCAGCGTGACAGGTGAAGGCTGGAAAAGGGACTGAGTGCGGGCATCTGCTTCCTGCGGCTCTTCCCACTTTACCTGGCCCCTTCTGTACTCACACACTTTTTAATAAACCTCTCTTTCTCAGCTCTTGATCACTAATCTGAAACATGAATTCAAAATCCAGATAAACTTCAATAGTATCTGCAAACAATGAGACAACTGGAAATCAGTGAACTGGGAAGTGGGAGGCCCTGTTTCTGGAAGGTAGCTGCCTGGAGCCCTGGGCATGATCGCTCTTCCCGGCATCATGTGGGAGCTTCTGCTTCTATGCATGCTGTCATAGTATGATCATGTGGGCCATCACGGTCTAAACTTTCCAAACCCAGAACCCTAGAAACCTACAGGAAAACAGGCACAGAAGGCAGCTGAAGCTAGGTGCTGTTTGCCCTCTCATCACTGGGGCCTCACGCGAGATTTCTAGAAACTGCGACCCTTGATTTTCTCACACCTGATGATTCAAAGAGCTTGATGAAAAGCTCTCACAACGCAAGTTCTAAATTCCCATGCCCCCGGCTTCTTTTTGGGATTTACAGCTGTTATTCTGTGTACTGATAGTTTCTCATTCTCCTCCTCACCGAAACACATCCGGCACAGGCAGCATTCTGCATGGAGTCTCAGGCACTATACCCGGGTGATCACCATGTTGGGGTGTGCCTGCAGAGCGCCCACTGCCCGGCCCTCAGATAGCTACATGTTAGGGGAAGACGACCAACAAGGAAACAGATCACTTCAGGTGGTGAGGCAGGTGTGGTCATCAGGAAGCCCATCTGCTTCCTACAGCAGTCTGACGGCTCTGAGACACGAGGATGAGGCTGCATGTGGACTCAGAGGCTCCGCACAGTGGACAGTGGGGCAAGGAGGGCAGCAGGAGGATCACTGCCAAAACCAAATACTGATTATACTACGGGCTGCCCAAAGAACAGAGACATCCGTCTTTGGTACAGCCAGGGGGCTCCTAAGAAGTAAGGATGACCAGACTTTTGTCTCTCCTGCTTTGGACAAGTTCTCAAGAGAGACTGGTCCTGGAGAAGTGCATTGTGCTTTGTACTGTAAAGGGTCACGTGAAAAAGAAGACAGTTCCAAAGAGACAGACTGACAAGCAGACAGCAGCAATGGGCTCATTAACAGCAACTGGGGCTGGACCAGGAGCGGGCAGGGTTTTGTTCTGTTGTGCCTGAGGTTACCAGGAGTCTGAGCCAACACAACGGCCCCTAACAACAACCATCTCCAGATACAAGCATGAAGAGAGTTCCATAACAAGCAAGCACACACCAGTGAAACGCTGAGATCCGTGCAGCGGGGCCGTGTCTATGTGCTTCACACCTTCCACGGCCAAGATGCAGATGAGTCGGGCCGTTCTGAAAGCTCGAAAAAGAGCAGAGCCTAAAACACTTTCAAATGGCCAGAAGCCTTGTTTTTTTTTTTTTTTTTTTTTTAAATCTGCTAAAGGCCCCGAAAGTCATTAAGAGTCTATAGTTATAGACAGTTGAGCATGGAAGACAATTTTGGCCTAAAAAACAAAAAAGATTTAAAGGCAAGGCCCCTCAGAAGGTCATAAAGAGAGGAGTGCTCACGCAGCCCTAAGCTGACCTGAGCGGGTCAAGCTCATCAGTGACCCATTAAGGGGAAATATCAAACGGTCCCATGAAAGTGTCCCCAGTAAATGGAGAGGAAAGCAAGCACGTGTAGCTGGGGAACAGCCTGAAGTGAAACAAAAGCTTTCTCATTTTACCTTAAAAAAAAGAGAGAGAGACGTGGATTGTAATGGTGTGGCTCTGTGAATTAATGCACCAGGCTGCAAAGCCGTTTGCAAGGGTTGGTGGTTCAAGCTCACCAATTGCTCCTTGGAAACTCTATATAGGGTCGCTATGGGTCGGAAGCGACTCGACGGCAATTCACAACAACAATCCATTATTAGAAGGATACTAAGGTAACCCTCCAGTGCTCAAGGGAGCTCGCTTACACAGTGAGCTGGAGACAGTCACTGACCATCGTCCATACTCTCTCCAGGGCATGTAAAGCCCCTCAGGTCTGCCATGTAGTGGGCACACGGGGGCTGCTTAGCCTCCAGCTAGCCTTTGAACTTTTCTACCATCTCCATTTGATTTTCTCCTCCCATTCCTTATTTTCATCTTTTCTTTCATTCTTTTTCTGTTACGTTCAAAAATTTACACTGCTGCTGCTGCTGTTACATGTCCTCAAGTTGGTTCCGACTCACAGCGACCCTGTATAGGGTTTCTGAGGAGCGGCTGACCTTGTGGTGGGCAGTCAGTGCTGATCCCCCCGCATCACCCAAGGCTCCGCATATATTTATACGCTTTTTTAACCCCTGCTTGAACAAGATGAATATAACACAAGAGCATTTAAAGAAGGCAGCCCTTGACCAGAGTGTGCTAGCCGCTGGGACGCTAGAACCACAGTGGACTAGGATGAAGACCTGGCCACAGGGATGAGCGCAGAAGGCTTGGGGGCACAGTCCTTCTGGGGCTACGCGGAGCACAGCACTCAATACCAGAGCCACTCAGAGAAATGGACCTGTCAGTAAATCATCGTGGGGGACACATCCTTTCAGGGACCATGTCACTGCTGAGAGAGGTGGAAGTGCTACCAGAAAGGAACAAAATAGTGCCACACCTGTGAGTGCAAAGGAAGCGTACACAGCCTCCCCTGCACAGATCAGTATAAACATAAGGCTGTGCACAGTATGAAATCCCTGGGACTCAGGCTTGGATTCAAGAGAACTAATCCACAGATAAACACTCTTCTTGTCCAACACCAGTACAATCACCTCATCTCAAGGTAAAGAACCATAAATCCTCACCACTGGACCAAAAAACAATTATCATGATAAAAGGAGAAAAGATTGAAGTTGTCAAACGCTTCATTTTACTGAAATTAACCATTCAACACTCATGAAAGCAGTTGTCAAGAAATCAAATGATGTATTGCATTAGGCAAAGCTGCTGCACAGACCTCTTCAAAGTGCTCAAGTACAAAAAAGTCATTTGAGGACTAAGGTGCCTGACCCAAGCCATGGTATTTTCAATAGCCTCATATGCAAGTGAAAGTTGGGCAATAAATAAGGAAAACCATAGAAGAATTGATGCATTTACGGTAGGCTGTTGGAGGAGAATATTAAAAGTACCATGAACTGCCAAAAGAACAAACAGATCTGTGCTGGAAGAAATACAGCCGCAGTGCTCCTCAGAAGTCAGAATGGCCAGACTTCATCTCTCATATTTTAGACATGTTGTCCGAAAGGAGCAGTCCCTGGAGAAGGACATCATGCTGGGCACAGTAGAGGGTCAGTGAAAAGGAGGAAGACCCTCAATGAGACAGATGCACACAGTGGCTGTAACAAACACAACAATCGTGAGGACGGCACAGGGCCAGGCAGGGTCTCTGTGTGCGTG